AAACATTTCTCTTTGACCGCAACCTTTTTTTTTGTCCTGAGATGGAGTCTCACTCTGTTTACCAGGCTGGTAGCCAGTGGCACAATCTCAGCCTACTGTAACCTCCGCCTCCCGGGTTCAAGTGATTCTCCCACCTCAGCCTCCCGAGTAGCCGGGACTATAGGCATGCCTCACCACTCCTGGTTAATTTTTGTATTTTAGTAGAGATGGAGTTTCTCCATGTTGGCCAAGCTGTTCTTGAACTCCTAACCTCAGGTGATCTGCCCACCTCAGCCTCCCAAAGTGCTGGAATTACAGGAGTGAGCCACTACGCCTGGCCTCCTCATGGCTTCTTAATGTGAACGTAATGCTACTCACAACAGTAGTACCCTTTACACAGAATTATTTCCTAAGGCAGTGGCTTTCCAGATAACAAAATAAGCAAGTTTCCATTACACTCAGAATTTTAGAAGTAATTATATCTGATAACCATTAAAATTTATTCAAAGCTAATTTGTTTTTGTTTGTTTGTTTGTTTGTTTTTTGAGACCGAGTCTTGCTCTGTTGCCAGGCTGGAGTGCAGTGGTGCAATCTCGGCTCACTGCAACCTCTGCCTCCTGGGCTCAAGCTATTCTTCTGCCTCAGCCTCCCTAGTAGCTGGGACCACAGGCGTGCGCCACCACACCCAGCTAATTTTCATATTTTTAGTAGAGATAGGGTTTTACTGTGTTGGCCAGGATGGTCCCGATCTCTTGACCTCATGATCCACCCACCTCAGCCTCCCAGAGTGCTGGGATTACAGGCATGAGCCACTGTGCCCAGCAGCTAATTTGTTTTTTAAGCTTACCTATCATTTACACTACGTATAAATTTCTAAAACCCTGGAGGAAGTATTGCATAATGACTTTTCTCTGTTTTACATGACACTGGTAATCACTGAAATAAAATACTTTTTATTTCTAGATTGATGAACATAGGATATGTGTGTGTGTAAGAAAACGACCACTCAATAAAAAAGGTATGGCACTTAATGAGCTCTAATAAAAAATTGCTTTTATCTGATTTGTAATGTATTTTTATAATAGCAAATCAAATTGGTTTGGAAAAATGTAAATTATTTCATTTGTATGTAACCATTATGCAGATTCCTATGGCTAAACTTGTTGGTTTGTTACTGCTCTGAATCATTGCCGTTCCAAGCCATGCTTCACAGAAATCTTGATGTTGTTTTTACTTTGCTGTTGAAATATTTTGTCATAGTGAGTTGCATATTTATGGGATATTATCTTTATATGTACAGAACTTGCTACTTGTATCTTAATTCTTACTACTTAAAATAATTTTTGTACATGAACTCAAATACTGTGAAAATTATTGGGCATTGATTTTTGTTTATTTTTTTAGAAACTCAAATGAAAGATCTTGATGTAATCACAATTCCTAGTAAAGATGTTGTGATGGTACATGAACCAAAACAAAAAGTAGATTTAACAAGGTACCTAGAAAACCAAACATTTCGTTTTGATTATGCCTTTGATGACTCAGCTCCTAATGAAATGGTTTACAGGTAGGTAAATTCATTTTAAATCAGAATTTTGTGCTTATGTCATGTGGTCATCAACACCTTGAAATTTACATTGATTGTGGGATGTTTCTTCAGAAGTGCAATATGCTTTTTTATTCTGAGTTTAAACAGAGAATGTAATAAATGCTGTAATGAATATTAACATTTGATCTCTTTAATGCTTCCCCAAATCATAGTTTTCATTGCTACTTGCTATTTAGCTTATTACATATATATGTAATATATGTATATTTGTTATATATTTATATATAAATATATGTGATATTTGTATAATTTGTGTGAGATATATATATACACACATATATATACATGTGTGATAAAAATATATCACACGAATCATGTATATGGCTAAGAAATTTCTGGAAAGTGTTATAACCTCTAGGAGTAGGATGTGATCAGAAGAGGACTTTTAATTTTTACCTTTTAATCTCTGTACTAGTAAAGAAACCTGAAATGCTGTTTGACGCATGATCTTGCTCTGTTGCCCAGGCTGGAGTGCAGTGGCACGATCACAGCTCACTGCAGCCTGGACCTCCTGGGCTCAGGTGATCCATTTCAACCTTCTGAGTAGCTGAGACCACAGGCAGGCACCACCACACCCAGCTAATTTTTGTACTTTTTTTTTTTTTTTTTTTTTTTTTGTTGGTTTTGCACTTTCACGGCCCAGTCAGTTTCCTGAACAGTCTTCCTCTGCACAACAGAATGGTAGTGTTTCAGATATATCTCCAGTTCAAGCTGCAAAAAAGGAATTTGGACCCCCTTGTATGTAAATTATGTATCAAGGATTTAGTCATTTTAGGCATACATGTATTCTCTCTTGGTCATCCTTTTAAGTCCTCAAATAGTAAACAGTCTAAATACAAGCTTGATTGCAGATTTCATTTTACCACTGTGGAAAATTTAACTTATTTTTATTCGTTTAGCCTATTAATTGAGTTTTTTCATGTATATTTTGGAGCAAAATTTTTTTTTGTGAAATTATAGCAATGTTTCAGTTTGAGTTTGAAATTCTGAGCAGACGATAATTTGTCAGATGTTATAGAAGAAAGTCTTGTGCCTCCTTGATTCTTTGAATTCAAAGATCTGTATTTCTAAACCAAGAGATGACATGTATCAATATGTTTGAGCCATTTTTCTGGATTCCCATCTGTACGTTGTCCTATCTTAGTTTTGGTAAAGCAGCTCATTAAATAAGGCTCACATAGTTGTTATAGACACGCTTTGTCACTGTGTACCTGTTGTGTATGTGTGGTGAAGTTATACATAAAAAATTTTAATATATTTATACTCTAAAAAAGAAAACTATACTTCTACAGCTCATCTTTTCTTTTCAGCACGTAGAAAATCTAATTGTGTGAAAGAAGTAGAAAAACTGCAAGAAAAACGAGAAAAAAGGAGACTGCAACAGCAAGAACTTAGAGAAAAAAGAGCCCAGGTTCGTAACATAAACATACATTTTGTTTGTATACCAGCTAAAGTTTAGATTATATCAGTGAAAATTATTCATCAGTGAAAAAAATAATTAAGGCATATTTTGGAGAATTTTAAGAATTCTTTAAATTGATATTAAGGAATAATATGAGCTCTTGTGAAAATAAGTTACCATAAAAAATTTTTACTACATTGTCCTTTTCATGTTTTATGGGTATGTGTTAACCCTAAAATTTGTTCCATTAAGAAAAAGCCATTGTATTACAGAATTCTAATGTGTATAGTATAACCTTCAAGAATTTTTATTTTAAAAATACCTAAAATTACATTGGAAAAAATATCCAGTTAAAGTGCTTGATTAAACTGTACATTTTATTATTGTTTTTCTGGTTAATAAGTTCACATGTCATAGAGAAAGATGGGAAATTCCTTGTGTTTTGATTTATGCCACATATGAAGAGTGGACCTGTATTGTATCCCTCTCGTGGTCTACTTCATATGGTAACAAGACTGTTTAATAGCAGTGGGAAAATTGCATAGAGAACTGGTCTTTTACCCTTCTACAGGTTTTCGCATATTAGACATTTTGTTACTATACATGTAACTTCACCATTGTGCTTGTATGGCATCTGTTACATTCTTAGAACTACTTTTCTATAATAAAACAGCAGGATTATTCAATAGTACGTTCAAATGCCCTAAATCATGTTAAACTACCAGTTCATATGTTGTGTTGTGGAATTGTGGACCTAGTATTATATCCAGACTGAATGAATCAGCTTTTATCCGAAAGTGACCTTAGAATGACTACTTGGGTTTTGAAATAAAGAATAAAACAGATTATCTACTAATACTTAGCATAGATGCCACCTGGTGTTTCCTGTGGGTACTTCATAATACTTACACATCTCTCTGTGATCTCTTAATTCTCACTTCACAGTCTGCTTCTCAGTTGACATAGGTGGTATTATTTCCTAGAAGAAGGTTAATTGAAAGTAAGTTTCAGTAACAGTTTGTAATTTAGTTGCATTCAAAACAAATCTGAATATGATGTATGAAAAAAATCTGACTTCTTAGAATGATTAATAATGTATTGTTGAAGGCTAGGAGAGGTTGTTGACTATTGCTATTTGTATATTAATCCGAATTTTCTGTTTTGAAGCCAAATAAATTGTAGTCAGCATTCAAAAAATTGAATTTTAAAGATTTTTTTAAAATGACCTTGGTTTCTGATTCCTTTAAGTTCTATGTTTTTTCCATTTGGGGCAGCAATGTCATTACTTAATATTTTTTAGAGGGTCAGCAGAAATAGGAAATGAAGATAAATGAATCCATATTTATACTTTGCTGAAACACTGGATTAAATTAGAAGGTGAATCTGATTAAATGAATTTTCCTAGAATTTCAGCTTTTCTAGAGTTATTTGCCAGTGGTTAACATGAGCATTATTTCTCTATTGCTCCTTTGTATAGGATAATTAAGGTATATGTTTAACAGATGGATTTTTGAAATAGATAAACGGTAAATTCAGTGAAGATTCTTTACTTTGGAGTTAACAGAATGCATGCAGACTAAGAGAATTGTTTGTTTGTTTTAGAATTGTTTTTTAATATGAAAGCGATTCAGAGCTTATTATGAAATCACAACTATGAAACTATGTATTTTCAGTTTGAGTTTGGGCTTGGTTATGATAAATAGCACTATCTATTTTAATTTTAATTTTCAAACCATGTATAACAAATGCAACAAATACATTATTGTAACTATAATAAATGGTGAATTCTCTCTGTCTTCTAATAGGATGTTGATGCTACAAACCCAAATTATGAAATTATGTGTATGATCAGAGACTTTAGAGGAAGTTTGGATTATAGACCATTAACAACAGCAGATCCTGTAAGATTCTTTGTAAACCATTATTCTGGAACTTTTTACGCCTCAAATAAAAACATGTGTTTGACACGTGCTAAATTCATATTGTATTTAGCTATGCAGTTTTTCCTGTCCATATGCTTGCTTATTCTCCATAATTTAAGGAGAAAATCAAGAAATAATTCACATGAATTGTCATTTCCCATAATTTGATATATGAGCTATACTGCCTATAGAGATGTCCTTCTCAAAGCAAAGCCTCCCTGTCTTTGGAAGGGCAGGGCAACACTTAAAGGAATGATAGCAGAAGATCCACTTTCCTTTCTGTCAGTTATACTTTGATCTCAATTCCAAGCTTATCTTTGGCTTGGGCTGTAGGTCCCACCAACATTTCTAATTTACTATTAGTAATTTGTTAGTTTTCAATGTATTCTGGCTTTTAACAGTAAGTATTGGTTGTTGAGGGTTGTAGTGGACTAGAAATCTAGAACTGGAAAAAATCCTCTGCTCTTACTACTCCTTTCCTATTGAGGAATGAGAATTCACTGGACAAGGAATGCTTTTTTTTTTTTTTTTT